CTAGGCTAGCTCAGAACTCATTTTGTAGCTGAGGATGACCTTGAACTCCTGATCATCCTGCCTCTACCTCTCCAGAGCTTGGATTAGGGCCACGCATTTCTGTATTCTTTCTCAACCAGTTCACAGCCTCACTGTCCTGGGGAAAATGCACTTTACAGGCCTTTTGCACTGACGGTTCCCACCCGAGTGACCCCTGTGGGGAATGAGATGCTTTCCACTTTCTTCTGCCCAACTTCTCACCCACCCCATTAGAATGGCTGACAACAAGCAATCTCCTAGTCCTTGGGGAGTTCTGAAAAAACTACTTTCCTGGCCACCTTAAATGTGGATAAATACTCCATTTCAGCATGTTTTCTGCGGCCTGCTGCTGCTCCCACACACCCTTCCTGAGGACCAGTGGCCCTAATGGGCTCTGGAGGTTTCCCTAGTAACTGTTGCTTTTTAATGACTTCAGTGAACTTAGACTCCACCACAGCTCAGACTTCCATCCTGACACAGCAGGCAGAAACCCTTCCCCCCAAAACCCCTTAGTGTATGCGCCCCTCAGCCACCCTCCCCTCAGAGCCCAGGCCCGGCCTCCCTTTCCCCAGGCTTGTCCGCCACACCTGGTTTGAGCATGCTCAGTTTGTTGAGATTCATTTTCCAGGGTTTGCTGGTCACTGTGTCTTCATAGGGTGAGACATCTAACTCGTAGTCACCTGGAGAGGACAGGGAGGACATGAATGTCAAGGGCAAGCACTTCGAAGGGGAGCAGCGAGGGCTTAAGTCGACGGATCGGGCTGCAAGGGCGCGCGAGCGCGCGCACACACACACACACACACACACACACACAAACACACACACACAAAAACGCCAAGTCAGCACGAACAAAAGGAGGAGGAGAGAGGAAGAAACCGAGGAAAAGAACACTAGCTTAATAAGAAGGGGAACTGGGGAGGCATGATGGTACCCACCCTTCCTCACAGTACTCTGGGACAAGGCAGCCAGATCTCTACGAATGAGAGGCCAGCCTGGCCTATACAGTGAGTTTCGTTTCATGCCAGCCAGAGCTACACAGTGAGACCTTGTCTCAAATAAAGGGGGGTGGGGGGGTGGGGCGGGATATAAAATCTACACTGATTCCAGAATTTCTGCTCCCAAGTATAGACATTGCCTGTGGGCACACACTCAAACACAGAGACGCCTTCTCACTTTCTCTTGCCATTAGGGAAGGGGCGGCAATGGACTGTGCTCTAGGCTTGACCACTGGCTTTGGAGACACATGATACCAGAGTGATGCTAGGTACGGAGCTGGACCAGAATGAGAGAAGCAGAGGAAGAAAAGACACAAGGACCCCACAACCAACACATCTCTCCCAGTCATCCTGTGGGACTGTGGGCTTCTGAAGGGCACTCGCTAGGTTTTAAGCATGGCGGGTGCTCAATAAATACTAATTAGTAAATGTTGGGGGCTGGGATGCAACTCAGTAGTTAGAATGCTTGCCTGGCATGTACAAAGCCCTGGGTTCAACCCCCAACACCAACAATAAATCAGACATAGTGGCTCCTGCCTGTAATACCAGCATTCAGGAAGTGGAGCTAGGCAGATCAAGAGTTCATGGTTGGGGCTGGGTCAGCAGTTAAGAGCACTGACTGCTCTTCCAGAGGACCTGGGTTCGATTCCCAGCACCCACATGGCAGCTCACAGCTCTCTGTGCCTCCAAGATCTGACACCCCTACACAGACATATATGCAGGCAAAACACCAATGTACATAAAATAAGAATCAATAAATTATTTTAACAAAAAGAGTTCATGGTCATCCTTGGCGACACAGCAGGTTAGAAGCTAGCTTGGGTAGATGAGACTCTGTCTCTAAATCAATCACATTGGAAGAGAGAGGTAAGCACCCAATGGGCCTTTGTAAAGGCATCCTGAAGACTGCAGGAGCATGGACGTCAGACAAACAGAAGAGGATGGGCTTTAAGAAAGGAAGACCTGGGAGTTCCTAGGGGGAAGTGGGAGAATCCCAGAAGATGTCTCTGGGGAAGATCGGAAAGAGAAACGATGAGAAACGATGAGGATGAAGATTGGAAAGCAGGACAAAGAGTGTTGTAGACGACATCACCACTTCGTTTCTGCCCCATCACCCAATCCTGTCGGAGGGTCACACCTCCCACCTGTGGCCATGGGACTTCCATGTCCCCTGGGAGAGGAAGACACATGCTCAGCCCACTGCTGTCAGGCTTGGCCATGTGACTTGCTTCAGCCTACGGAGTTTAAGCTAAAATGATGTCACTCACATCTGAGCAGGAGTTTGAGAACCATCACACGGTTCTGCTCCTCCTCCTCTCTACCAGCCTGGATCCACCCATGAAGATGAAAGGTAGAAAAAAGTCAGCTGATGGAAACTGGCATCAGATGGAAAACATGGGCAAGAAATACATTTTTCAGCCAGGCAGTGGTGGCGCAGGCCTATTAATCCCAGCACTTGGGGAGGCAGAGGTAGATGGATCTCTGTGTACAGAGCTAGTTCCAGGACAGCCAGGGCTACACAAAGAAACCTGGTCTTGAAAAACCAAAAAAAAGAAAAAAAAAGAAATACATTTTCCTTTTGAAAAGCCAGTGGT